TGTGGTGACTTTTGGATCAAAACAATATTTTTCTTGACGTATTTTCTTACTGCGGTGAGCCATACACAAACTGAAAGGCCTCAGACCAAACACCAGGGGTTTTAAAGATTATGAGAAAGATCAATACCAGTCTCAGTCAAATGTGAACACACCGACACGACGCACATACTCTATTTTTACATGCATAATGACTTACACTTCCCGAATATCACTTCCACCATCTCGGAAACCATCGCAACTCCTTATACTGTAACTCCAGAACTTGACTGAAAATCATCAAATGTTTGAGTTTCCTTCAGTATCAAAGTAATCCAGTGCTAGCTGTATGTTTTCCTTTGGGACATTGCAAACTAGCAAGCTAATGTAGCATTCACGGGGCTCAAGTTGTAGCCTACCACCAACGAAGCTTAAAGGTCCCATGTCATGCTTTTCCGGTTATTACCCGTCCCCTTGTGTGTTATGAAGGTTTTTACGTCAGTGGCAGCCATGTTAAGTGCCGTTCCAATTCTCCAAATGAAAGGAAAGGAGGTTTCAAACTTCCTTTATAACCTCCTTTAGCTTAGGAACCACTGGACCTCCCTTACCGAAAGGAGAGGAGAAAATGCTGCCCCACAATGCATTGCAGCCACAGCATTTGCCGTCACACAACAGTCGGCCGTTCACAGAAACAACCGATTATGACGGAGAAATTATATCATGAAAGTTACGGTGCTTATTAAGCATTTTAAAACGTATGTGGTAAGTTGCCAAAGTGCTTTGTTCTGAACGTTCATCAGTATTATAATCAAAAAGAGAAATATGAACGTTAGTTTTTACTGAAATGATCAAATAAAGTCAACATCTCACAGTCTTTACTGAGCTGTGGGGTTTGTTCAACTTGTAAGATGTTTGAATGGTGATGTACACAGTGATAGATGTTAAGGACTAACGTTTATAATAAATACATTTGTATTGATTTTAAGATATTTTCATACAATCATACGTATTGGGATCATTTGTATTAATGTGGACCGGAGGGAGAGTGTGACGAGCATAAGTTTCACTTTCCTTTTTTATTTCAATTCCAACTTTGGTCATGAAGAATATGTTTATCTGTTGTCCACGTTCATAAAGCATAAAGCAACAGCATCAGAGCACGGTGCAGAGTCTCTAGATGAGTTTACAGTAGTCCGTGGTTCTTATTGAACATCCATGTTGTAGTCCGCTGTATAGAAAACTGTATAGTCTGTGTCTGGATGCAGACCGCAGCAAGGAGGCGGATCCTAAAGGAGGCGGATCCTAAAGGGGGCGGATCCTATAGGGGGCATTTCCTAAAGGGTTATGAACCCCGCCCCCCACGCATTCTAGGGATGTGAATAGGCTTGTTTGAGACAAGCGAGACCTGCGCAGTTGCGATCAACGTCTTACTACTGCTGATGGTTAGTCATTTTGTCCGACTTGCTCTGGAAGCTCGCCTACATGAGACGTGGAAATCTCGCGGGACAAAGACGCGAGAGCGAGGCGCGGCGAGGCGGCGCAGTTCCTCTCCACGGGCTGCGGAAGCGAAATGCTTGATGGGAAACGACTCGCTGGTATCTCGAGCTGAGCGCTCATTGGTGGTTTTTACCCCGTGCTGCTGATGAAACTCTCCAATTGGCTCGGCAAAAGTTTGTTGTTGTTTTGTGTCAGTTTTACGTCGCCACATGCATTCCCATTTTTCATCATTGTTCCACAATGTTTATCATCATGAAATTAATATCTATATATTTTATACTATACTTGCACTGCCTACCGTTTTCATACTTTATATATCTTAGCATATTCATACACACTGTTCATACTGCTCACAGGCTGATATCTAGTGTATTCATACCCCTCACTGTTTATTCATCATTCAATTCATTCTATATTTTATTCTGTAGATTGTGTACATTACTTTTCACTTCACTGCTTGTTGCACCTGGTTAGAAGCTAAACTGCATTTCGTTGTCTCAGTACCTGTAATAATAACAATAAAGTTGAATCTAATCTTGAGCAGGAACAAATGTATTTACTTAGTACATATCTGACATTAACGATTAAACACATGACGTGTGTGCATTCTTTATAAATGCAAACCGAGTCAAGCCGACTCCGGAGGTGGCGGTATGCACCTTAAAGTTGTTTGCAATCCGCCAAAAAACAGAGAGAGGAAGAAGAAGAAGAAGACGACGAAGCCGACTCCGAGCTGTCCGACTTCAGGCAAGCTTTTTGAGACCTCCCCCGACTGCGATCGGCTATTCTCGTCTACTTTCGAGGCGAGCCGCAACGTGTCTCAAACAAGCCTATTGACTCTCAGCTTTACTGTGCCTTTTCTTTTTTTTCTGCATTAACGGCTGCCATCGTGTGTTCAGAAATTGTGTAGAAGCCTTAATGTTTCAAATTCAAAGCCCTATTTCAAAGCTCTATACCAAACATGAGAGGCTTTATTTAAACTAAACACGTGTTTACTTGAGAGTTCCTAGTCACGTCTGTTCTGTCTGTTAATAATAATAATTTATTTGTTGTTAAGAGGGTAATGGCGTAGCTCGTTTTAATCATACTTATGTTCAGAGTTGGGTGTAACGCTTTGTAACGAGTTACTGTAATAATATTACTTTTGTCGGTAACAGAGTAGTGTAACGCGCTACTTTTATAATTCAGTAATCACACTACAGTTACTAACATTGCCCCGACACGCGTTACTTCGTTACTTACTAAAATCAGTCATAATAAAACCTCAACAAACACCTGCAAAGAACACATGCTAAGGTGAAGCTAACGCACAGCTATTTGTTGTTTGTTTATATCAAGTAGTCTGTTCTTATTCTCTGTTTTCCGGTTGTTGCCTGTTTTGAATGATGAATACACACTACCGCCGCCTGCTGGTAAGGAGAGTTATTGCCACTCACGCATGCGCAGTTCGTACGTGCTCGGCTGAAGTCTTTGCTCCAGTCTGGTTCCAGTGCAACACATGGCCAACACGCAGGAGAACACGCCGACGCAACAGCGTGAGCAGAGATAGACTGCACAAAATATACAGATAGCAGGAGACAGAGGACAGCCATGGTCAGATAGGAAAACATTCAGGATCTGGATCAGTCTTATGCGACAATGGAAACTGAACTAAAGAGAACATTTGAAACTTTAGCAGTCAACTCAAGTTTCTGCCCTTATCTTGTCTCTGTTCAAAGTGAAATTTACACAGAAATAGCCAAATATCATTCTGGGTCTTAACACACCCCATAGTGAAATATATAGCCTAGTGTAAACCTTATACTAATAATAGCAAAATTGTCCATCTACAAAACTTGGATGATATTCAAAGATGACCAACAAACGTTGTATAAGGCAGACAGTGTGTTTTTCTTTCTGAGTATGTCATGTTAAATATCAAAATTGATCTTTGGTTGATGAAGTCAGAGATAATTAAATCTGGGCACATATTTTGTGGTTGCTGAATTAGAACACCCAATAAAATGTTCATGTTTAATGAAGACTTTCCTCTTTGTAGCCTATGTACTGTATATTTTCCTTTGTACAATATTGGTATGTACTATACATTTCTTGTTTAGTATTTGATGTGTATTGTAATGTTTCAAAAATAATAAATACGTTAATTAATTAATCTTACCACCAGACACAACATGAACAAATGAATGATACACATCAGGACAGTAACTTCAACTTCAGTATTTTAGGTGTACAGAAACCTCTACTCATGTTGTTAAATGATATACAGCAATATCTTCCATAAAACGTAGTTGATTGATTTGAATAATAATTACTACCACTGCACAAACAGTAAAAAATGATATGCCTACAATTTATGAATTTGTCTTCTCTGTGGGTTGTATACTCTTCATTCTTTATGCAAATTAATTATAATTATAATTTTTAAAAGTTCGTTTATGATTCATTCAAAGCATTAAAATAAATGAGAAACAGAGCGTCATATACCTTTAAGAAATACGTGAGGGGCGGGGTTCATAACCCTTTAGGAAACGCCCCCTATAGGATCCGCCCCCTTTAGGATCCGCCTCCTTGCTGCGGTCTGCATCCAGACTCTATTGCCTGAGACGGCTGGACGCGGCGAGGCTGTGAGTCGGTGTGTGAGCACACACACAAACTCCCAGCCAGGCTGCGGGTGTGTGTGTGTTCGGGCTGGTTTCGCTGTGTCTCGCTGTCTCGCAGACGGCCACTGGGCTTATAGGGAGGGGGGGCAGGAGCTCCAACAAGCCGTTTAGGACAGAGAGTGAATACACATACTTTACAGAGATGCTGTATGAGAAACCAATGTGATTTTGGAAAATTGCACAATATAAATCTATGTTAGTATACCTCAACAATGGAATTATGATCAGTAGAAATGGCCATGACATGGGACCTTTAATGACATACCCTTATTTATTTTTAACAGGCCTGTTAAGGGTTTTCCACAAAAGCTCCGTGACTATGGGAGGTTTCTGTGGGAGATACTACTCTTGCAAATTAATTCCTCCTGTCCAAATAGTTTGTAGCCTTTGCACTTTAACATGCTTGCCCAGTCTTTAAAGGGACAGTTACTAAACTCTAGTAGACCTGTCAAGCCATTCAATCACTTTTGGTTTAAGCAGTGCTTGAAATATTAATCACTGAGGTTTGATTTGCTGTAAAAAATTAAAATGGTTGTGATTAGAATGGTATAGGCTTCTCAAATAATAAAAAACCTGTATCTAGATTTTCTTTATCTCCACTTGACTTGACTTTGTCCTCAAAATGAGAAATAAAAAGCCTATTTCTTTCAGTGTTTAACAAGAAATCAATGTGAAAGTTATAGATCAAAGCGTCGCTGTATTCTCTGAAAGATTACATTTTGATTAAATTAATACCCTTAAGGACATGTGCAGGTGAAGCATATTGATTGTCATTGTAATCTCAAAATAACCAGAAATTGGAGGTTGATTACTTCTTTTATATTGATTAATTGTTGATTATGTTCTCTCCATTATTTCAAGGTTGGCCTCTAGCAACATGGATATCTTCACAAACGGGGATTTAGGTGTTGACGGTAACACAAGCCATGAAACAGGACAAGAAAGATTAGAAGGCACCAAAAGCCAAGGATACAACCACAGCGACCCCCTGGACATGTTCATAGGCATAGAGCTTCTTCTACGTTTCAAACCTCTCTTCCTGCCACTCTATTCCCTCGTAGTGGTCGTGGCTGGTGTCGGAAACTCCTTCCTGTTGGCTTGCATCTTGTCTGACAAAAAACTACACAATGCCACCAACTTTTTCATCAGTAACTTAGCAGCTGGAGACTTGCTGATGTGTTTGACTTGTGTTCCACTGACTGTGTCTTATGCCTTCGACAGTCGTGGCTGGGCTTTTGGAAGAGTCCTCTGCCATTTGGTCCCCTTGCTGCAATGTGCGACAGTGTTCGTATCTGTGCTTTCACTCACTGCCATTGCTGTGGATCGCTACGTTGTTGTGGGTAAGGGATATTACATTATTTGTTTATTTTTTGAGAATTTCTTAATAAACATGCTATTTGCAGGATTTTTAAATGTGTTCCTTTGCAACCAAATGGTGTTATCAAAAAATACATGAATGCATGATAAAAAAAAACATAATATGGAACACAAATACTTTTTTTCAGAATTATTTAAAATATGTTAAATACAATGCAAATCTAAATATGAGTAATTCTGTATTACTTTGGTTTTCATTCATGCTATTTTTCCTTCCTGTCTCAGCTCACCCAGTACGGAGGAGGATCTCTGTGTGGAGTTGTGGGGCAGTGAGTCTGGGTGTGTGGCTTTTATCTCTGGCCCTGGCTGCACCTCAGTCTCTTTACACACGCTACATGGACCTGCGACCCAATGGCATCGACCTCGTAGTTTGTGAAGAATTCTGGCCTCATACTGGCAATCTGCGGCTGCTCTACTCCTGCTTCACTCTCATTGCCTCTTATATGATCCCGCTGCTGTCAGTCAGCATATCTTATTGCGCCATCACTGTTAGCCTGAAACGCTATTCAGTGCCTGGGGAGCCATCAAACAGCCAGCAGCGATGGAGCCAGAGGAGAAGGAAGACCTTCTCACTGCTGGTGGCCTCAGTGCTGGCTTTCGCCCTGTGTTGGCTGCCTCTGCAGGTAAGTCCCTGATCCAGACTGTAAAATTCTTAAATGAAGCCAAACTTCGAGCCAATTTTAGCTCGACTTCTCTTCTCTGCTCCTTATATAACTAACCTGTTACATGGATTTTGATTAAAATCTTGATTCAGGAGTAGGGCTTTGGCGGAAGATCTTGTCAATTCTTACTAGGAAATGCACAAACTCAACAGCAGTAAAAAGATGAAAAGGGGAAATCTTTAACTGACAATAAGATAATGAATGTTATACATCATTAACCACAGAACCTTATTTTCAGGTACACCATGGCCATAAAACTAACTGTCTGCAATGAGCAATGCAAACAACTAACACCGAGGATTTTATCATCATGGTAGAATAGCTCAAACCTTTCATTGCAGTAGGATTGCACAAACAATGAGCCACATTCCAAAAACCAAAGAGTGCTTACACACAAATCACAAATGGTTGCAGAAATGTGTAAATACAAGTAAATACAGCCAGGTTTTTCCATGTCACTGTGCAGGTGCTGACCCTGATGCTGGACCTGGACCCAGACTTCCACATCATAGGGAAGCGCTACATAAATGTCTTACAAATCTGCTGTCATTTAGTAGCTATGAGCTCTGCGTGTTACAACCCTTTTATCTACGCCTCACTGCACAGCAAGGTGCGCATGCACTTGAAAGGCTACCTCTGTCCCTGTCGTCAGAGGGAGATGGTGGAGAGGGTGTCGTCCAGGAGCTGATGTTAGGCCGTGCCCTATTTGATATAACTGCTATAGCATCGCCTGACACCCAGAGCCCTTGTCCAGGAAAACAAGGCAAACGCTTCATTGTACTTAAAAGCAAGGAATATGTCTGTTTCTCTATCAGTCTGTCTGTCTGTCTGTCTGTCTGTCTGTCTGTCTGTCTGTCTGTCTGTCTGTCTGTCTCTCCATCTGTCCGTCTGTCCGTCTGTCCGTCTGTCCATCTCTCCATCTGATAGCTTAAGAACTGTTAATCCTACCTTCATCACTCATGGCAGGCTGGTGTGGACCCAAGGACACGCAGAGTCAGATTTGATGTTATTTGGACACGCAACAAGTGATATATTAATACACTTTGAATAAACAAGCAACCTTTTTGTTAAGGGCTTCTTGGCTCGACACAATGACCATTGGCTTCAGTTCACTTTTGCTGTTAACTCACATCCCTGAACGAACGATGAGCGGCTCTTGTCAGCAATATCAGGAGTCTGTTCTGAATTTGCATTGCATTACTTTATTTAAACCAGTTTTCTCAATGTGTTTCCAGAATGTTGTGACATTTTGTCCTAGTGTCCCCAGAGTAAGTTCTAAATAAGGCCACTTGTGACAAAAAGGCATACCAGACTGTAGTTCAGGATGATGATCAAGAAGATTCCACTGGGATCCCTGTGTTTTTGTTGGACGGTGTAGCTGCTGGCATGGACACTAAGCAGATACTGCAGCTTGAACAGGCAGCAGAGCTGTGAAGCAGACATGCTGGAGGCTCAGGCCAGGGGGGGGGGGGCTCCACTGGCTGCCGGACCTGGTTTAACTTAAACAGTAAATGTTTAGGGAGCCGACCCTACCATGAACTCTTCTTCACCAGACATGGATTGCAGGCCGTTGTAGACATATAGATACTAGATGCTTTTTCCATATCCCTGCTGCTGAATGCCTTTGCTTAAAAATCAGATGTGTTTCTCTCATATTGCATCACCTTGATTATATTAGATATTACAAAATGTTAAATAATGTTGCCTGCTAATTTAGTGTAATTATGTAGTAGCTGTTCTCTGTGGTTTGGTTCCACTTTTATGTCACCTGTTCACATGGATTAATATGATTGTATTTGCATGTATGTAAGTTAGTATTAGTTTGTATGGACCTGCATGGAACAGATATGATATGTACAGCACTGGGAGAAAAAATATGCGGCCTTATAGTGACCTTCAGACCTCTCTGTAGAAAATTGAATTCATATCAGATTCATAAATATTACTTTCAATCTCTGTGGCTGGGCTCTGTCTCGAGACACATGTACACATAATATTCAGAGTATGAACAATAAAGACACCAGGGTTTCCATCCACTAGGATTTATGCTTTCTGTGCCAAAGCCTGACGATTCAATATATTTTTGCACATGTCTTCTGTTCAATAATTCACCAAAGAACTTGCTATTGTGATATCAATTATATTAAAGGTGGGGTAGGTAAGTTTAAGAAACCGGCTCGAGATACACTTTTTGTTATATTCCATGGAATGCTCTTAACATCCTGATAGCAATGAATATCTTAAGTGCTTTGACAAAAAATCCATTAAAAAATGTCATCTGTGGAAGCCGTAGTACTGTAAAAAGCACGACCAATCATCTGAGCCGGCCCGGCTAAAATAACTGGATGGCCTACCTGCCTGTCAGCCTTCCATCTGTGCACAAACTTATCTCGTGCCCTCATTGGTCATGTGCGTGTCTGTGTGTGTTGGAGGAGGGGCTCTGTAAGGAAGTGGCAGATTTTTTCGGCTGTGTATTTTCAAATTCTTGCGCACTCGAGCTGGTTTCTCCAAAATTACCTACCCCACCTTTAAATGGCATCGGATTTTGTTAACCTGGTTATTGAGGTACTACAGTTTGCATAACTATTGTTGCTTTTAAATTACAATACATGTTGTTCTACTGTTAAGTGGAAGGATAGACAAAACACAATCAAGGTGCAGGGCAGATCATCAACAACCAGCTCACTCTTAAATGCCAAAATACAATTTGTTCGGCCAGCCAAGTGGTAGTGTAGCATTCGTTTTAGAAAAGAATCCCTGGCTTCCCAGCCAACGCTGCTGATGCCAATTGTCCCCTCTCAACAATCAGATTACTTTGCTGTTTGTTGTTTGGGTACCATGGATTTTCCATCCAAGTCAACCTTGCGTGCAGCTCTCAATTGCATTTTTGGCCAGGTGCTCTTACTTAAATGGTCTCTAACAAAATGGGAATTTCACCTTCATTTGTTGCCATGATTCCAAACACTTTGTCATTCCACAGTTAAAGGCCTTTCAATTTGATTTGAAATATTCTAGTTAAGTATTTCTGGACTTGAAATACTAGGGATTATAAGCAATCAAAAACCTAAGGACCTAGGCGTGTCTGTAAGCACAAACAAAAACAAAGAAAAATCCTCTTCTGCAGTGTAATCGAAACAAAGTGATTGCACTGTGGGGTAAACATATAATATTACAGAACCATTTATCTGCCTCAGTCTAGTTATTAGTTACAAGCAGATGATGCCTTAATACCGAGAGAAATCTTGCTAAAACGCGACTGTCGTAAATAAAGGGCAGGAGAAAGAATAAAGAAAATACAACAAATAGACCCAATATATACATAGATTGCTTTTTCCCCCTATTTGGAATTCTGAAGACCATAAGTCTGACAATTCTTCACAACCACTTCAGCTGTTTGGATAAGGCTGAAAGCTGGACCAGTTCATTTGCTTCATATTCAGATCAACAAACAAAGCTAATTAAAGTGAAGAGTTAGACTTGCTTGTGGCCTCTTGTTTTATAAACCAGACATGTCACTGAACCACCAATAATGATGAAACTTTTAAAAGAAAAGTTCAAGTGAAAAAGTACCACATGAAAAATAAGGTTATTCAAAAATATACTGCAGGTTATTATTTGTTTAGTAGAATCACAAATATGCTTTCTTGTCATCAAATCAAAAAAATCAAAAAATTGTTTTGAAAAATGTAAGTGGTTTATTATTATTGACTAAATCATTGTTTGTTTCCCTGTTTCTTAATGGGTGTTTTAGCTTGTCAACGAGAAAAATAAAATATATATTGTGGCTATGTCTATTGTACTAAACCACATGTACATGCAAGCACACTGGTGCACAACAGAGAACCACAAAAACCTATAAGAACATCAAAATATACATCTAACCAGGTGTAAAAGCTAAGTTGAATTTGTTTCTGTCTGTGAATTAAAACTGTAAGGGAGATGTTTTGTGTCTTTATTTTGTAACTTCAACAATCATCAACAAAAAACTGGGAACTCTGTTAAAGGAAGCTACCTTTTTCTAATTACCTTTAATATTAACATTGATATAAACATATTGAGACAGACAGACAGACAGACAGACAGACAGACAGATAGACAGACAGACAGACAGATAGACAGACAGACAGACAGACAGACAGATAGATAGATAGACAGATAGATAGACAGACAGACAGACAGACAGACAGATAGACATAGATGGATTAGTCATGTTGGAAATTAAGTTTGCCTTGTGAAGCATCAAATCTATTGATAGACCACTTTGGCGTTGTGGTTCAGAAATGCATTAGGACAAATTGAGTTTGATTATTGAGACTTTCTGCTTCATTATGACGAGGCAGCGGGAGAGCAGTTTATTTGTGCTCTAATTAGCAGTGATTGCACATCATGGAAGGGAAAATAAAAAAGTACTTTATATTGAATGATGCTTTGTATGTATCATAATAGGTTCAAGGTACAAGGTTCAATGCTTTTATTAGTCATATGTACATAGCTACAGTGTAGTTATGTCAATGAAAATCTTAGGTCACAGGCTCCTCCAACAGTGCAACACAATAAAACAGAAAAACAGAACAAATTGTGCAAGTAAATACAAAAGAAAAATAGTGAAATAGTGCAATAAGAGTCTATATACAAGTGATTGGAATATGATATATTAGATAAATGATTTCTAAATTGCAGCCAATTTCAAAAGTTCAGGTGTTTAGCAGTCTTATAGCCTGTGGGATGAAACTGTCCCTGAGTCTGGTGGTTTAAGACCTGATGCTGCGGTAACGCCTGCCAGACGGCAGCAGACAGAACAGTTTGTGGCTGGGGTGATGGGGGTCTTTTATAATCCGGAGGGCTTTCTTCCTGAGCCGCTGGGAGTAAAGATCCTCCATGGATGGCAGCTCCGTCGTAATACTGAACTAAACACTAAAATAACTTCAGTCTAGTATTAACTTAATTCTGACCCACCCTGCATCATGAGCCTGTGAGTCACAACAGCGAATCAATGAAAGCGCATTGATTTACCACGGCTACAGAGTAAGCTCATTAAAAGTTGAGCCTGGAGAAAATTGATCTTTAATATCTTGGACCTTATGCCACAATATGATGGACTGCAGCTTTGGGTAATTTCTTTCAAACTTGACTGCAGTCAAATCACTTTTTCAAGTAGTTCTTCTTGAAATTGCCTTGGGCTCTGACTGGTAAGAGTGAGGAAAGGACATCTTTTGGGAGCCTTTCATGAATTAATAAATTAATTAGGGACTTATTTTTCTTACAAGTCTCTCTAAGCAGAAAGACTAACCAAACCGAGAATCTGATATGGAAGATTAATCCTCACCAGTGTTATTTTTAGATGCTGGCATCCTTATTTACTTTCCATGCTTTATCCATCTCTAAATACTTTCCAACTTCCTAAAACTGTTTCTGGTCCCTTCCTGCCTACCAAAGATGATTTCCTAGAACAGCTGGGTAGGTAAGTATCCCTGGCATTGCTGTTTATTATGCAGTGCCAGATATTATAATAATGGAACAAATGACTTATCATCAATCATTGTTTTTGGTGGTAGAATCAATCATTTAGATTTGAAATGTCATGGAATATGTTGAAAATAAAAGACATTTAGAATATTACCAATGTTATTATCAAAGGATTTAATACTGCACACCGAGCTTGTGATATCGGAAAATCTTTTAAAAGAAAAGAGAAAGAGAATTATTTTGCCGGGATAATAATGTTTTCATAATGACATTTCTGCACAAGTATAAATATAAAACTACTAAGAGGTTTTCTGGAAATAATTATGCCTGTTTCCATTTACAAAAATGTGTCTTTCAGACCAATGGACTCAACAGTAAAGGCTTTTAAGAAAAAAAACATGTTGTACAAACCCAAACAACCTCAAGGATCATACTGGTTATATGCCGAGTACTCAGTTGGTCATGTATCGATTATGCACTATAGCTCTATTGATGGATGAGAGAGCCATTGTATGAATAATGGGAAAAGCAAAACAAAGCAATAACAGCCTTATTGTTGTCAACTCACTTACTCTCTTTTCTTTTTTCTTTCCTCTCTTATTTTTCTGTTCCTTTCTCATTGAAAATGGGTCTCTGATTACAGTGTTCGCCCACTTGACACCTGCGCTGCACACAGCTGTGCTGGATTTATTATTAACTGTATGTGTGATACAAATGGCAAAGTGCTTCTATCATTCTCTTCATCCCTGCGGATATGCAAAATCCGATACAATTTCAAATGTTCTGCATAAACAACCTAAAAGCCGAGCATCTGTTCAAACCACTTTTTTATTTGGATTTACATTCAACATGGCGTTTGCCGACATTTAGGTACATGGTCATGTGAATAAAATGATGTTTTTGCATGCTTTGCACTTTGGGTCACACAATCACAATCACAATATCCTTGTATAGATTGGTAGGAAAACGCAAGTGCTCTTCAACTCCTGCAGTGTCCAGCCAGGAACCAGAAGTGTCTGAAGACCTCTTGAGAGAGCAGAACCTGGGAATGCAATCTAATTACAGAGCACGGAGATGCATATAATTCAACCCCCCCCCCCCCCTCCCCGCTCTACATCGTGCAGGGTATGAGGGAGAGAATAACAATAACTGATTGTCTGAAGAAGGGTTGATTATTGGATGTATATATTCATGCTATTCTCGCCATCTCTGAAAATAAAGCCATGACTTTAAAAAGCTTATGCAAGAGCATGTAGTTGTATGCGCACACACACACACACACACACACACACACACACACACACCCAAACACACACACACCATCTTACAGCTTACTTTCATATTAGGTGGTTATTATTATTAGACGTCCCTCTGTTGTATGTCGTTAAAGCTGGGTCTGTGCCTGTCTGTGTCCTTCTATGCCTCCTCCAGCACAGTTTCAAATCTTCCTGGACTCCGTTACTTACCAACACATACAACACAGGGTCCACCACGCAGTTCAGACTGGACATTGCCAGTGTACATGAGAAATAAAAGTGCATTTTTTGTTCAAATTGGCAGTAACTTCCTTCAGCTAATATGCTATCACTGCTGTAGAAGACAAGTGAGCGGATGAGCAGGAGAATGTGATATGGAGCAAAGCAGATGGAGAAGATGCCAATCACCCCAAAGGACAGCATGCGGACCTTCCTTTTAGCCTGGGCGCTCAGGCCGGGACTCTGGCCCACGGTGGCCAGCACCCTCC